GTGCAAAGCTGTCATCAAGGCAAAGGGTGGCTATTTGAAGAATCTCAAATATAAAATATATTTAGATTTGTTTAATACTTTTTTGGTTACTACATGATTCCATATGTGTTATTTCATAGTTTTGATGTCTTCACTATTATTCTACAATGTAGAAAATAGTAAAAATAAAGAAAAACCCTTGACCCTTTTGACCGGTAGTGTATATCTTTTAATACCGACCAGCTAAAAAATACGGGAAAATTGACAAATGATGCAATGGATTATGAATCTCGCGACTTGTGACTGCAGGCCGCCCAACAACCTGCCCGCTTGACCCCATCCCCTCCTCTCTTCTCCAGACCATCTCCGGTGACTTTTTCCCCTACCTCACCTCGCTGATCAACTCATTGTTCGCTGCTCTGGCACCCCAATGGTGGAACAAGCTCCCTCACGACGCCAGGACAGCGGAGTCACTCACCACCTTCCGGAGACACTTGAAACCCCACCTCTTTAAGGAATACCTGGGATAGGATAAAGTAATCCTTTTACCCCCCTCTTACCCCAAAAAAATAAACATAAAAAATAAAATAATAATAATTGTAAAGTGGTTATCCCACTGGCTATAGGGTGAATGCACCAATTTGTAAGTCGCTCTGGATAAGAGCGTCTGCTAAATGACGTAAATGTAATGAAACTGGTGGAAAAAAGTCAAGTCTGTTTCTCTGTTATGAAGAGGAATACCTTTGCCGCTGTTTCTGATATATAAACAATGCCACAATGGTGGGTGGTAAATGTATGCACTCACTAACTGTTAGTCGCTCTGGATAAGAGCGTCTGCTAAATGACTAAAATTTTAAATGTAAATGTAAATGGTAACATTCAAATAAAACCCCGCCCTGAAACAAAACATAGGCTGAAAATAATTTGTATATCATATCATAGGAAAAGACCCACGAAGTGGGCAGTTCGGATTTGTCTCTGCAAGCCCAAATATATCATACTTTGACTAAAATGATGCCTTATTGGCGTAAATGGTTGTGCAACATCATGGGTAAGCTCTGGCCATCGTCTTTCAGCTAGAAAAAGTAGATTTCTACTGCTGTGGGCGTTTAAACTTCCAGAAGGCAAATAATTTATCCCAAACTAAATTTAAGTGTTGGCAGGGGTCTTTACTTCAGCATGATTGTGTTTTGATGTAATTCTAATACCTTTTAAGAGTTTTTCTGGTAGATGTTATCTAAGACCCCTTTTCCATCTGTTTGACCAGAAATAAAAGCCTTTGCTTATTCCTCATTTTTAGGATGGAAAATGGTTGAAAAATTTATATATGCCTTAATTTCAACAACAACAAATTGACTCTTAGCTTTCATTTGACACCCAATTTGACATGCTCCTATGAACTTCCCGTTGGTGCTCATGGGTCCTTTAACATGGAAATATGCTAAAGCACTGCATTCTGCCCCGGACACAACAGGATCACTGTCGGATTTATACGTGTTCGGTGGTGATCGATGACGTATATAAACCCCGGATTGAAAGCCAGTCTAAGAAGCAGTAGGTAGGTCTGTTCTATGTGGGCTATTCTGCTTCCCATTCCTAAGTTTCGTTTTTTTGCGTCTTTTACTTTGGGTTTTGTACACCAGCTTCAAAACAGCTTCAAATACAATAGAACTGGCCGTGTGGTGCCAGGATAACAACCTCTCCCTCAACGTGATCAAGACAAAGGAGATGATCGTGGACTACAGGAAAAGGAGGGCCGAGCACGCCCCCATTCACATCGACGGGGCTGTAGTGGAGCAGGTTGAGAGCTTCATGTTCCTTGGTGTCCACGTCACCAACAAACTATCATGGTCCAAACACACCAAGACAGTTGTGAAGAGGGCACGACAACACCTTTTCCTCCTCAGGAGACTGAAAATATTTGGCATGGGTCCCCAGATCCTCAAAAAGTTATACAGCTGCACCATCAAGAGCATCCTGACCAGTTGCATCACCGCCTGGTATGGCAACTGCTTGGCATCCGACCGTAAAGCGCTACAGAGGGTAGTGTGTACGGCCCAGTACATCACTGGGGCCAAGCTTCCTGCCATCCAGGACCTCTATACCAGGCGGTGTCAGAGGAAGGCCCTCAAAATGTGTCAAAGACTCCAGCAACCCTAGTCATAGACTGTTCTCTCTGCTACCGCACGGCAAGCGGTACCGGAGCGCCAAGCCTAGGTCCAAAAGACTACTCAACAGCTTCTACCCCCAAGCCATAAGACTGCTGAACAATTAATCAAATGGCCACCCAAACTATTTACATGTTTTTACACTGCTGGTACCCGCTGTCTATTGTCTATGTATAGTCACTTTACCCCTACCTACATGTACCAATTACCTCGACTAACCTGTACCCCCACACATTGACTCGGTACCGGTATCTCCTGTATATAGCCTCATTATTGTTATTTTATTGTGTTACTTTTTATAATTTTTTACTTCAGTTTATTTGGTAAATATTTTCTTAACTCTTTCTTGAACTGCATTGTTGGTTAAGGGCTTGTAAGTAAGCATTTCAAATCAAATCAAATCAAATCAAATTTTATTGGCCACATGCGCCGAATACAACAGGTGCAGACATTACAGTGAAATGCTTACTTACAGCCCTTAACCAACAGTGCATTTATTTTTAATCAAAAAAGTAAAATAAAACAACAAGAAAGTGTTGAGAAAAAAAGAGCAGCAGTAAAATAAAATAACAGTAGGGAGGCTATATATACACAGGGGGGTACCGGTGCAGAGTCAATGTGCGGGGGCACCGGCTAGTTGACCTTTCACGGTAAGGTTTGATTTGATTTGATTTGATCAATCCCAAATGTAAATGGACAAGTCCAATAATTTATAGCATATCAAATAAATAATATAAAGTTATCAAATGACTTGTTAGTCTAAGCTTGAACTTGAATTCAAATGTTTGTCAGTCTCTACTCTGTCTGGGGTCTGCAATGCATCCGCTGGAGGGCAGCACACACTACAGTTCGTGGATTTAGTACATCATTTCCCGAAGTTTATGTTCTTGCGGACATCAGGTGTGTTTTCATTACGGAAACTGTTTAAAGAATCATCCACTCCGAATTTTCCAAATGTCCTAGTTCCAACTAGCATGTGAACGCGGCAAGACTCGCTGCTCTGACTTGTGGGAAAAAGAAGCGAAGACAAGAGTTATCTCCGTTTTTACCCCACCCGGTAGGTGGCGGCAATATACCGTGTTGGATGTAGTCCGCCAATAAAACCTTAAAGAAGAAGAAGAAGAAGAGAGGACAAGCGGGGAGAGAGACAGAAACGTTCCTCTTAAAGAGAGCTGATCTTTTGCAACTTTCGAGGGACGTCCATATGTCACCAGTGGATTATTTCTTTACCTGGGAGAGAGCACATTATATGCAAGGTTTTACCAGGGTGAATATACGTTTTTTATTTTGCACTTTTACTCGCCAACTGTTCACGAACTGAGCGCAGCTTCCGGATGTAACTGTTTATGGTTTGGGTCCTCTTCAGTATTTCTCCACTCTTCCTGTCTGGTGTTTGATAACTTCACTGGTTTATTCGATACCTGTTTTCAGAAGAATGAAGCCACCCAGGTAACAAGGTGAGAATCCATGCTGAATAAACAGACTAGCCTTTGACAGTCTGCAATATCCATCTTCTATGTCGCCTATGTGTTTATATTGTCATGGTTTAGTGAGTCAGGATGAACATTACATTTACATTTTAGTCATTTAGCAGACGCTCTTATCCAGAGCGACTTACAGGAGCAATTAGGGTTAAGTGCCTTGCTCAAGGGCACATCGACAGATTTTTCACCTAGTCGGCTCGGGAATTAGAACCAGCAACCTTTCGGTTACTGGCACAACGCTCTTATCCACTAAGCTACCTGCCGCCCCAGTGTGGAGGGTTAGATTGCCCTCTCTCCTCCACAAACTGTGGACCAGTTAACTGTTGTCATTGGCTGTGGTTCGGTTCATCTTTGTTGTCATTGGCTGCTGGGTTCCCCAACCAATCAACACCTGCCCTGTAGGGTCATCCCCTGTCCTGTAGTCTTTTTTTCTTTTCCAACTGTCTTACTGAGAACTGTCTAACCATAGCTCTCGAAAAACTCTAGGCAGCATTCTGCCTTTTCCCTACAGTTTTCAGCTGTCAGCTTCATCTATGACAGGCTCCTGTGAACTACGATCCGGACGCTATGTTTTAACGTTTAGAAACGTCAATCATCGCTTTCGGATATGGCTTTCGAAACATATGTCCCTTATCTTTCATCAGAAAGAATCCTTCAACTAAAAAAATATACTTACTGTAGCAGTTCCAGATCCATACAGCTATGGGGCCTCCCTCCTAGAACCTACACTTCCCGAGTTAGGCTTGGACGCAACTACACTTCCCGAGTTAGGCTTGGACGCAACTACACTTCCCGAGTTAGGCTTGGACGCAGTGTTGGCCCACGCTAGAGAGATAACTAGCGCAGGTGGTCATCTATAATATAATATATAATATGCCATTTAGCAGACGCTTTTATCCAAAGCGACTTACAGTCATGCGTGCATACATTTTTTTTGTGTATGGGTGGTCCCGGGGATCGAACCCACTACCTTGGCGTTACAAGCGCCGTGCTCTTTTTCCATAAACAAGTGCTGTAGTGTGGAGATATGGCAGTGTGGGAACACTAACCCTATAAAGGTGTGTATCAATTTCACTTTTAGTTTTTTATTAATATTATTATTGGTTCTCGCTGATATGGAAGATAAGGTCCTTATGCTTCCAAACCGTACTGCAGGTGATGCGTGTTAATGTTCAGATTGAATGTTGGGGCTCTTAACAAAACTCCCCCCTAAGGAAGATGCCTTCCTCCAATGACACTTATGTGTAATGGAATGGAACTGTGAGTCATGATCAAGGGCTAGTCTAACCCTAACCCTTTCCCAACTGTCTCCTCTCCTTACGGAGAACTGTCTAACCCTTTCCCAACTGTCTCCTCTCCTTACGGAGAACTGTCTAACCCTTTCCCAACTGTCTCCTCTCCTTACGGAGAACTGTCTAACCCTTTCCCAACTGTCTCCTCTCCTTACGGAGAACTGTCTAACCCTTTCCCAACTGTCTCCTCTCCTTACGGAGAACTGTCTAACCCTTTCCCAACTGTCTCCTCTCCTTACGGAGAACTGTCTAACCCTAACCCTTTCCCAACTGTCTCCTCTCCTTACGGAGAACTGTCTAACCCTAACCCTTTCCCAACTGTCTCCTCTCCTTACGGAGAACTGTCTAACTCTTTCCCAACTGTCTCCTCTCCTTACGGAGAACTGTCTAACCCTTTCCCAACTGGCTCCTCTCCTTACGGAGAACTGTCTAACCCTTTCCCAACTGTCTCCTCTCCTTACGGAGAACTGTCTAACCCTTTCCCAACTGTCTCCTCTCCTTACGGAGAACTGTCTAACCCTTTCCCAACTGGCTCCTCTCTTTACTGAGAACTGTCTAACCCTTTCCCAACTGTCTCCTCTCCTTACGGAGAACTGTCTAACCCTTTCCCAACTGTCTCCTCTCCTTACGGAGAACTGTCTAACCCTTTCCCAACTGTCTCCTCTCCTTACGGAGAAACTGTCTAACCCTTTCCCAACTGTCTCCTCTCCTTACGGAGAACTGTCTAACCCCTTTCCCAACTGTCTCCTCTCCTTACTGAGAACTGTCTAACCCTTCCCAACTGTCTCCTCTCCTTACGGAGAACTGTCTAAACCCTTTCCCAACTGTCTCCTCTCCTTACGGAGAACTGTCTAACCCTTTCCCAACTGTCTCCTCTCCTTACGGAGAACTGTCTAAACCCTTTCCCAACTGTCTCCTCTCCTTACGGAGAACTGTCTAAACCCTTTCCCAACTGTCTCCTCTCTTTACTGAGAACTGTCTAACCCTTTCCCAACTGTCTCCTCTCCTTACGGAGAACTGTGTAACCCTTTCCCAACTGTCTCCTCTCCTTACGGAGAACTGTCTAACCCTTTCCCAACTGTCTCCTCTCTTTACTGAGAACTGTCTAAACCCTTTCCCCAACTGTCTCCTCTCCTTACGGAGAACTGTCTAACCCTTTCCCAACTGTCTCCTCTCCTTACGGAGAACTGTCTAACCCTTTCCCAACTGTCTCCTCTCTTTACTGAGAACTGTCTAACCCTTTCCCAACTGTCTCCTCTCCTTACGGAGAACTGTCTAACCCTAACCCTTTCCCAACGGTCTCCTCTCCTTACGGAGAACTGTCTAACCCTTTCCCAACTATCTCCTCTCCTTACGGAGAACTGTCTAACCCTTTCCCAACTGTCTCCTCTCCTTACGGAGAACTGTCTAACCCTTTCCCAACTGGCTCCTCTCTTTACTGAGAACTGTCTAACCCTTTCCCAACTGTCTCCTCTCCTTACGGAGAACTGTCTAACCCTTTCCCAACTGTCTCCTCTCCTTACTGAGAACTGTCTAACCCTTTCCCAACTGGCTCCTCTCCTTACGGAGAACTGTCTAACCCTTTCCCAACTGTCTCCTCTCCTTACGGAGAACTGTCTAACCCTTTCCCAACTGTCTCCTCTCCTTACGGAGAACTGTCTAACCCTAACCCTTTCCCAACTGTCTCCTCTCCTTACGGAGAACTGTCTAACCCTTTCCCAACTGGCTCCTCTCTTTACTGAGAACTGTCTAACCCTTTCCCAACTGTCTCCTCTCCTTACGGAGAACTGTCTAACCCTAACCCTTTCCCAACTGTCTCCTCTCCTTACGGAGAACTGTCTAACCCTTTCCCAACTGTCTCCTCTCCTTACGGAGAACTGTCTAACTCTAACCCTTTCCCAACTGCCTCCTCTCCTTACGGAGAACTGTCTAACCCTTTCCCAACTGTCTCCTCTCCTTACGGAGAACTGTCTAACCCTTTCCCAACTGTCTCCTCTCTTTACTGAGAACTGTCTAACCCTTTCCCAACTGTCTCCTCTCCTTACTGAGAACTGTCTAACCCTTTCCCAACTGTCTCCTCTCCTTACGGAGAACTGTCTAACCCTAACCCTTTCCCAACTGTCTCCTCTCCTTACGGAGAACTGTCTAACCCTTTCCCAACTGTCTCCTCTCCTTACTGAGAACTGTCTAACCCTTTCCCAACTGCCTTCTCTCCTTACGGAGAACTGTCTAACCCTTTCCCAACTGTCTCCTCTCCTTACGGAGAACTGTCTAACCCTTTCCCAACTGTCTCCTCTCTTTACTGAGAACTGTCTAACCCTTTCCCAACTGTCTCCTCTCTTTACTGAGAACTGTCTAACCCTTTCCCAACTGTCTCCTCTCCTTACTGAGAACTGTCTAACCCTTTCCCAACTGTCTCCTCTCCTTACGGAGAACTGTCTAACCCTTTCCCAACTGTCTCCTCTCCTTACGGAGAACTGTCTAACCCTTTCCCAACTGTCTCCTCTCCTTACGGAGAACTGTCTAACCCTTTCCCAACTGGCTCCTCTCTTTACTGAGAACTGTCTAACCCTTTCCCAACTGTCTCCTCTCCTTACGGAGAACTGTCTAACCCTTTCCCAACTGTCTCCTCTCCTTACTGAGAACTGTCTAACCCTTTCCCAACTGTCTCCTCTCCTTACGGAGAACTGTCTAACCCTTTCCCAACTGTCTCCTCTCCTTACGGAGAACTGTCTAACCCTTTCCCAACTGTCTCCTCTCCTTACGGAGAACTGTCTAACCCTTTCCCAACTGGCTCCTCTCTTTACTGAGAACTGTCTAACCCTTTCCCAACTGTCTCCTCTCCTTACGGAGAACTGTCTAACCCTTTCCCAACTGTCTCCTCTCCTTACGGAGAACTGTCTAACCCTTTCCCAACTGTCTCCTCTCCTTACGGAGAACTGTCTAACCCTTTCCCAACTGTCTCCTCTCCTTACGGAGAACTGTCTAACTCTAACCCTTTCCCAACTGTCTCCTCTCCTTACGGAGAACTGTCTAACCCTTTCCCAACTGTCTCCTCTCCTTACGGAGAACTGTCTAACCCTTTCCCAACTGTCTCCTCTCCTTACGGAGAACTGTCTAACCCTTTCCCAACTGGCTCCTCTCTTTACTGAGAACTGTCTAACCCTTTCCCAACTGTCTCCTCTCCTTACGGAGAACTGTCTAACCCTTTCCCAACTGTCTCCTCTCTTTACTGAGAACTGTCTAACCCTTTCCCAACTGTCTCCTCTCCTTACGGAGAACTGTCTAACCCTAACCCTTTCCCAACTGTCTCCTCTCCTTACGGAGAACTGTCTAACCCTTTCCCAACTGTCTCCTCTCCTTACTGAGAACTGTCTAACCCTTTCCCAACTGTCTCCTCTCCTTACGGAGAACTGTCTAACCCTTTCCCAACTGCCTTCTCTCCTTACGGAGAACTGTCTAACCCTTTCCCAACTGTCTCCTCTCCTTACGGAGAACTGTCTAACCCTTTCCCAACTGTCTCCTCTCCTTACGGAGAACTGTCTAACCCTTTCCCAACTGTCTCCTCTCCTTACGGAGAACTGTCTAACCCTTTCCCAACTGGCTCCTCTCTTTACTGAGAACTGTCTAACCTTTCCCAACTGTCTCCTCTCCTTACGGAGAACTGTCTAACCCTTTCCCAACTGTCTCCTCTCCTTACGGAGAACTGTCTAACCCTTTCCCAACTGTCTCCTCTCCTTACGGAGAACTGTCTCAACCCTTTCCCAACTGTCTCCTCTCCTTACGGAGAACTGTCTAACCCTAACCCTTTCCCAACTATCTCCTCTCCTTACGGAGAACTGTCTAACTCTAACCCTTTCCCAACTGTCTCCTCTCCTTACGGAGAACTGTCTAAACCCTTTCCCAACTGTCTCCTCTCCTTACGGAGAACTGTCTAACCCTTTCCCAACTGTCTCCTCTCCTTACGGAGAACTGTCTAAACCCTTTCCCACTGGCTCCTCTCTTTACTGAGAACTGTCTAACCCTTTCCCAACTGTCTCCTCTCCTTACGGAGAACTGTCTAACCCTTTCCCAACTGTCCCTCCTCTCTTTACTGAGAACTGTCTAACCCTTTCCCAACTGTCTCCTCTCCTTACGGAGAACTGTCTAACCCTAACCCTTTCCCAACTGTCTCCTCTCCTTACGGAGAACTGTCTAAACCCTTTCCCAACTGTCTCCTCTCCTTACTGAGAACTGTCTAAACCCTTTCCCAACTGTCTCCTCTCCTTACGGAGAACTGTCTAACCCTTTCCCAACTGCCTTCTCTCCTTACGGAGAACTGTCTAACCCTTTCCCAACTGTCTCCTCTCCTTACGGAGAACTGTCTAACCCTTTCCCAACTGTCTCCTCTCCTTACGGAGAACTGTCTAACCCTTTCCCAACTGCCTTCTCTCCTTACGGAGAACTGTCTAACCCTTTCCCAACTGTCTCCTCTCCTTACGGAGAACTGTCTAACCCTTTCCCAACTGTCTCCTCTCCTTACCGAGAACTGTCTAACCCTTTCCCAACTGTCTCCTCTCCTTACGGAGAACTGTCTAACCCTTTCCCAACTGTCTCCTCTCCTTACGGAGAACTGTCTAACCCTTTCCCAACTATCTCCTCTCCTTACGGAGAACTGTCTAACCCTTTCCCAACTATCTCCTCTCCTTACGGAGAACTGTCTAACCCTTCCCAACTGTCTCCTCTCTTTACTGAGAACTGTCTAACCCTTTCCCAACTGTCTCCTCTCCTTACGGAGAACTGTCTAACCCTTTCCCAACTGTCTCCTCTCCTTACGGAGAACTGTCTAAACCCTTTCCCAACTGTCTCCTCTCCTTACGGAGAACTGTCTAACCCTTTCCCAACTGGCTCCTCTCCTTACGGAGAACTGTCTAACCCTTTCCCAACTGGCTCCTCTCCTTACCGAGAACTGTCTAACCCTTTCCCAACTGTCTCCTCTCTTTACTGAGAACTGTCTAACCCTTTCCCAACTGTCTCCTCTCCTTACGGAGAACTGTCTAACCCTTTCCCAACTGGCTCCTCTCCTTACCGAGAACTGTCTAACCCTTTCCCAACTGTCTCCTCTCTTTACTGAGAACTGTCTAACCCTTTCCCAACTGTCTCCTCTCTTTACTGAGAACTGTCTAACCCTTTCCCAACTGTCTCCTCTCCTTACGGAGAACTGTCTAACCCTAACCCTTTCCCAACTGTCTCCTCTCTTTACTGAGAACTGTCTAACCCTTTCCCAACTGTCTCCTCTCCTTACTGAGAATTGTCTAACCCTTTCCCAACTGTCTCCTCTCCTTACTGAGAACTGTCTAACCCTTTCCCAACTGCCTCCTCTCCTTACGGAGAACTGTCTAACCCTTTCCCAACTGTCTCCTCTCCTTACTGAGAACTGTCTAACCCTTTCCCAACTGTCTCCTCTCCTTACGGAGAACTGTCCTAACCCTTTCCCCAACTGTCTCCTCTCCTTACGGAGAACTGTCTAACTCTAACCCTTTCCCAACTGGCTCCTCTCCTTACGGAGAACTGTCTAACCCTTTCCCAACTGGCTCCTCTCTTTACTGAGAACTGTCTAACCCTTTCCCAACTGTCTCCTCTCCTTACGGAGAACTGTCTAACCCTTTCCCAACTGTCTCCTCTCCTTACGGAGAACTGTCTAACCCTTTCCCAACTGTCTCCTCTCCTTACGGAGAACTGTCTAACCCTTTCCCAACTGTCTCCTCTCCTTACGGAGAACTGTCTAACCCTTTCCCAACTGTCTCCTCTCCTTACGGAGAACTGTCTAACCCTTTCCCAACTGTCTCCTCTCCTTACGGAGAACTGTCTAACCCTTTCCCAACTGTCTCCTCTCCTTACGGAGAACTGTCTAACCCTTTCCCAACTGTCTCCTCTCCTTACGGAGAACTGTCTAACCCTTTCCCAACTGTCTCCTCTCTTTACTGAGAACTGTCTAACCCTTTCCAACTGTCTCCTCTCCTTACGGAGAACTGTCTAACCCCTTTCCCACTGTCTCCTCTCCTTACGGAGAACTGTCTAACCCTAACCCTTTCCCAACTGTCTCCTCTCTTTACTGAGAACTGTCTAACCCTTTCCCAACTGTCTCCTCTCCTTACGGAGAACTGTCTAACCCTTTCCCAACTGTCTCCTCTCCTTACGGAGAACTGTCTAACCCTTTCCCAACTGTCTCCTCTCCTTACTGAGAACTGTCTAAACCCTTTCCCAACTGTCTCCTCTCCTTAGACGAGAACTGTCTAACCCTTTCCCAACTGGCTCCTCTCCTTACGGAGAACTGTCTAACCCTTTCCCAACTGGCTCCTCTCCTTACGGAGAACTGTCTAACCCTAACCCTTTCCCAACTGTCTCCTCTCCTTACGGAGAACTGTCTAACCCTTTCCCAACTGTCTCCTCTCCTTACGGAGAACTGTCTAACCCTTTCCCAACTGCCTTCTCTCCTTACGGAGAACTGTCTAACCCTTTCCCAACTGTCTCCTCTCCTTACCGAGAACTGTCTAACCCTTTCCCAACTGTCTCCTCTCCTTACGGAGAACTGTCTAACCCTTTCCCAACTGTCTCCTCTCCTTACGGAGAACTGTCTAACCCTTTCCCAACTGGCTCCTCTCTTTACTGAGAACTGTCTAACCCTTTCCCAACTGTCTCCTCTCCTTACGGAGAACTGTCTAACCCTTTCCCAACTGTCTCCTCTCCTTACGGAGAACTGTCTAACCTTTCCCAACTGGCTCCTCTCTTTACTGAGAACTGTCTAACCCTAACCCTTTCCCAACTGTCTCCTCTCCTTACGGAGAACTGTCTAAACCCTTTCCCAACTGTCTCCTCTCTTTACTGAGAACTGTCTAACCCCTTTCCCAACTGTCTCCTCTCCTTACTGAGAACTGTCTAACCCTTTCCCAACTGTCTCCTCTCCTTACGGAGAACTGTCTAACCCTTTCCCAACTGTCTCCTCTCTTTACTGAGAACTGTCTAACCCTTTCCCAACTGTCTCCTCTCCTTACTGAGAACTGTCTAACCCTTTCCCAACTGTCTCCTCTCCTTACGGAGAACTGTCTAACCCTTTCCCAACTGGCTCCTCTCCTTACGGAGAACTGTCTAACCCTTTCCCAACTGGCTCCTCTCTTTACTGAGAACTGTCTAACCCTTTCCCAACTGTCTCCTCTCCTTACGGAGAACTGTCTAACCCTTTCCCAACTGGCTCCTCTCTTTACTGAGAACTGTCTAACCCTTTCCCAACTGTCTCCTCTCCTTACGGAGAACTGTCTAACCCTAACCCTTCCCAACTGTCTCCTCTCCTTACGGAGAACTGTCTAACTCTAACCCTTTCCCAACTGCCTCCTCTCCTTACGGAGAACTGTCTAACCCTTTCCCAACTGTCTCCTCTCCTTACGGAGAACTGTCTAACCCTAACCCTTTCCCAACTGTCTCCTCTCCTTACGGAGAACTGTCTAACTCTAACCCTTTCCCAACTGTCTCCTCTCCTTACGGAGAACTGTCTAACCCTTTCCCAACTGTCTCCTCTCCTTACTGAGAACTGTCTAACCCTTTCCCAACTGGCTCCTCTCCTTACGGAGAACTGTCTAACCCTTTCCCAACTGTCTCCTCTCTTTACTGAGAACTGTCTAACCCTTTCCCAACTGTCTCCTCTCCTTACGGAGAACTGTCTAACCCTTTCCCAACTGTCTCCTCTCCTTACTGAGAACTGTCTAACCCTTTCCCCAACTGTCTCCTCTCCTTACGGAGAACTGTCTAACCCTAACCCTTTCCCAACTGTCTCCTCTCCTTACGGAGAACTGTCTAACCCTTTCCCAACTGTCTCCTCTCCTTACTGAGAACTGTCTAACCCTTTCCCAACTGCCTTCTCTCCTTACGGAGAACTGTCTAACCCTTTCCCAACTGTCTCCTCTCCTTACGGAGAACTGTCTAACCCTTTCCCAACTGTCTCCTCTCCTTACGGAGAACTGTCTAAACCCTTTCCCAACTGTCTCCTCTCCTTACGGAGAACTGTCTAACCCTTTCCCAACTGTCTCCTCTCTTTACTGAGAACTGTCTAACCCTTTCCCAACTGTCTCCTCTCCTTACTGAGAACTGTCTAACCCTTTCCCAACTGTCTCCTCTCCTTACGGAGAACTGTCTAAACCCTTTCCCAACTGTCTCCTCTCCTTACGGAGAACTGTCTAACTCTAACCCTTTCCCAACTGTCTCCTCTCCTTACGGAGAACTGTCTAACCCTTTCCCAACTGTCTCCTCTCCTTACGGAGAACTGTCTAACCCTTTTCCCAACTGTCTCCTCTCCTTACGGAGAACTGTTCTAACCCTTTCCCAACTGGCTCCTCTCTTTACTGAGAACTGTCTAACCCTTTCCCAACTGTCTCCTCTCCTTACGGAGAACTGTCTAAAACCCTTTCCCAACTGTCTCCTCTCCTTACGGAGAAACTGTCTAACCCTTCCCAACTGTCTCCTCTCCTTACGGAGAACTGTCTAACCCTAACCCTTTCCCCAACTGTCTCCTCTCCTTACGGAGAACTGTCTAACCCTTCCCAACTGTCTCCTCTCTTACTGAGAACTGTCTAACCCTTTCCCAACTGCCTTCTCTCCTTACGGAGAACTGTCTAACCCTTTCCCAACTGTCTCCTCTCCTTACGGAGAACTGTCTAACCCTTTCCCAACTGTCTCCTCTCCTTACCGAGAACTGTCTAACCTTTCCCAACTAGCTCCTCTCCTTACGGAGAACTGTCTAACCCTTTCCCAACTGTCTCCTCTCCTTACGGAGAACTGTCTAACCCTAACCCTTTCCCAACTGTCTCCTCTCCTTACGGAGAACTGTCTAAACCCTTTCCCAACTGTCTCCTCTCCTTATGAGAACTGTCTAAACCCTTTCCCAACTGCCTTCTCTCCTTACGGAGAACTGTCTAACCCTTTCCCAACTGTCTCCTCTCCTTACGGAGAACTGTCTAACCCTTTCCCAACTGTCTCCTCTCCTTACGGAGAACTGTCTAACCCTTTCCCAACTGTCTCCTCTCCTTACGGAGAACTGTCTAACCCTTTCCCAACTGCCTTCTCTCCTTACGGAGAACTGTCTAACCCTTCCCAACTGTCTCCTCTCTTTACTGAGAACTGTCTAACCCTTTCCCAACTGTCTCCTCTCCTTACGGAGAACTGTCTAACCCTTTCCCAACTGGCTCCTCTCTTTACTGAGAACTGTCTAACCCTTTCCCAACTGTCTCCTCTCCTTACTGAGAACTGTCTAACCCTTTCCCAACTGTCTCCTCTCCTTACGGAGAACTGTCTAACCCTAACCCTTTCCCAACTGTCTCCTCTCCTTACTGAGAACTGTCTAACCCTTTCCCAACTGTCTCCTCTCCTTACGGAGAACTGTCTAACCCTTTCCCAACTGGTCTCCTCTCCTTACTGAGAACTGTCTAAACCCTTTCCCAACTGCCTTCTCTCCTTACGGAGAACTGTCTAACCCTTTCCCAACTGTCTCCTCTCTTTACTGAGAACTGTCTAACCCTTTCCCAACTGTCTCCTCTCTTTACTGAGAACTGGCTAACCCTTTCCCAACTGTCTCCTCTCCTTACGGAGAACTGTCTAACCCTAACCCTTTCCCAACTGTCTCCTCTCTTTACTGAGAAACTGTCTAACCCTTTCCCAACTGTCTCCTCTCCTTACTGAGAACTGTCTAACCCTTTCCCAACTGTCTCCTCTCCTTACGGAGAACTGTCTAACCCTAACCCTTTCCCAACTGTCTCCTCTCCTTACGGAGAACTGTCTAACCCTTTCCCAACTGTCTCCTCTCCTTTACGGAGAACTGTCTAACCCCTTTCCCAACTGTCTCCTCTCCTTACGGAGAACGTCTAAACCCTTTCCCAACTGTCTCCTCTCCTTACGGAGAACTGTCTAACCCTTTCCCAACTGTCTCCTCTCCTTACTGAGAACTGTCCTAATCTACCCCTTTTCCCAAACTGTCTCCTCTCCTTACGGAGAACTGTCCTAACCCTAACCCTTTCCCAACTGTCTCCTCCTCCTTACGGAGAACTGTCCTAACCCTAACCCTTTCCCAACTGTCTCCTCTCCTTACGGAGAAACTGTCTAACCCTTCCCAACTGTCTCCTCTCCTTACGGAGAACTGTCTACCCTAACCCTTTCCCAACTGTCTCCTCTCCTACTGAGAACTGTCTAACCCTTTCCCACTGTCTCCTCTCCTTACGGAGAACTGTCTAACCCTTTCCAACTGTCTCCTCTCCTTACGGAGAACTGTCTAACCCTAACCTTTCCCTACTGGCTCCTCTCCTTACGGAGAACTGTCTAACCCTTTCCCAACTGTCTCCTCTCCTTACTGAGAACTGTCTAAACCCTTTCCCAACTGGCTCCTCTCCTTACGGAGAACTGTCTAACCCTTTCCCAACTGTCTCCTCTCCTTACGGAGAACTGTCTAACCCTAACCCTTTCCCAACTGTCTCCTCTCCTTACT